CACCGCACCGATTGTTGTTGCTGTTGTTTGATGCATAATGTCCTCTAGGGTCACCCATTTTGAATAATATTGCATGTTGTCGTTATTGTTTGGTGCTGTCGAGTCATAGACGACTCATAGTGACCTGATGAACGAACAGCCTGAGCACTGTTCGTACATAGAGTTTCCAGAGGCAAGCCATTTCGGAAGTGGATGCCGCTTCTGCTTCCAGCCATACCGATTACAGTGTTAAAGGAACACATTCCAGCTCAGGTTGGTGACAGGATACCTCAGTCTGGACTGCTTCTGAAGTGTGCTCCCACGACCTTGTGGCTTCAGTCCTTCCAATTACGACATCTCCCCCAGCACTTCTCCTAGGTGAAGCTCCGTGACCCTGGCTCCAGGGAGCAGCAATCCTGGGTCAGCTCTGTCTCTATTGGCTATCTGGCTCCCTGCTGTGGTTACTGTGCCTGAGAAGGGAAGCAATCACAGTAGGAGGTCCTGGACAAGGTGGGCAAAGGAATGTCCACTGAGGCATTGGATGTAAGATAACAGTCTGGAACATGGGGCCGTGTCGGAGGGGGCTGGGGAGGGGGAAGGAATGGGGAGGAAATGTACGACAACGAATAATCTTCTAAAAAATTTATAAAAACAAAAAAAACATAAAAATGGCGAGGCTTACTGTCAAGTGGTGACTAATGGACCCTCCAAGCCTCTCCCCACCATTTAAACTTGGAACAAAATTCTCCCCTGTGGTTCACTGTTTACCAAACACCAGACAAGCATATACAGAGAACAGGGGCCCCAGGGGCATGGTCTGGAGGGGGCTGTGCTTCCTCGGAGACAGAGCCTCTGGTAATGTGGACCCACCAGCAGCTGCTTGGGACACAGATGGGCAAGCTCCTCCATGAGGTTTTCACTGGAAACCGACTGAAGGGCCAGTTATTAGAACAATCAACCAATTAACTACATAAGATCCAAAGTGCAACATCTGCACAGGGATAGAGCTCGGAAGGCAGGAATGGGTGGATTGGAGTCATGGGAAGTAGAATCTCAGGGAAGAAGCAGGGGGATGTCTTTAATGTCTTGTCTTTAATGTCATAAAACAAAATATGTATGAACAGTTGAATGGAATACTAGTTTGCTTCGTAAACTTTCATGCAAATCACACATACATACCACCCCCAAAACCACTGAAGGTGTTGTAAGCACAGATGCAGCAGGGCCACTCGGGGTCAGTATGCCCAGCAGTGGGTACTCACCCAGGCTCTAGGTCATCATTAGTGGTGCTGGCAGCTTTGGGACCTGAAGGGAGCAGGAAGTAAGTGCTCAAGGGCCAGGCAGGACGGACCGGCTGCCACCCGCCATGACACATGGCAGGGCCAGATGTGACGAGTGAGTGTGGAACAACTCCATTCTGGGGCATCGTGATCTGACACACCCTGTAACAGAGCTGGCAGGACCCCTTTCTTCCTGTCCCAAGCATGTGGGACCCTCTGGAGGCTTGGGGCAGGCTGTCCATGTGAAAGGGCACCTGGCAAAGCCCACTTTTCACAGCACAGTACAGCCTGCTGGGTCAGGCTGGTCCCACTGCTGCGTGGGTCTTACTCCTGTGTTCACAGGAACCAGGTGGTGCTCCACCTTCTGCCTGGGTGTGTTGAGTCTGTTTTGGGGAACTTGACCTCTGTAACCTATGAGTGGGCTATACTGTTCTCCACATGATAGACTCACCTCCCAGAGCTGGAATAATGTCACTTGCTGGGCCACCCGGGATCTGTGAGCTGCCGGGTAGGAGGATGTCACTGGACTCTATGGGGGGTGGGGGTGGGCAGCAGCCACTTTGGTCCACAAGGTCACCAACCCCCAGGGATGCACACGGTTGTGAGAGGCCCTGGGTGTGGCTGGAAGGACCTGGGCCAGTTTCACTTCAGACATCTTTCAGTGAACTCTGGTCTGTGACCAGGGGATGGTGAGTGGGGGGCTAGAGGTCCCCTGAAGTGTCCTGAGTTGGGGCAGTGAGGACCAGCACATGCAGGAGCAGCCTGGGACCGGTCATCAGGGAAGGGGCCATCTGAGAAGTACCTGTGTGTTTTGCCCACAGAAGGTTCTGGGGTTCACCTCTCCCTCCTGATGCCAAGCACAGTGTAGAACATGGGGACAGGCCTGCAAGGACAGTGGCTCCTGTGGACTGTGCAAGAGCTGTCGTGACAACGATGGTGGAGGAACAGCACTGCGATGGGGACATAACGACAGCGGTGGTACCAGTGATGCTGATGGTGACAGTGAAGACCGTATTGGTGATTGTCATGGTGACCATGACAGGGTGAGGGTAACAGGCACGGCTGTGCCATGATGTGGCTGTGGCATGATGAGGACAGGTGACATCACTGTGCTGGTAGTCCCCTCAGTGGCCTTGGGACAATGCGGGGCAGTGGACAGACTTGTCTGCTGATTTTTTGGTTTCCTGGCTGTAGTCTGAACTCAGGATTCCAGCCAAGCTAGGAATAGGTGGAGTCACACATGTTGGGGACAGGCTTGGGGTTGATGGGAGGGTGACCCCCTGCCTCTGAATCCTGGGTGGGCTAGACTGAGGCAGTGACCTTTTCTATCCTGCTCAGAACCTGGCTTACTGCTCACTTCACCAGCAGGATCTTAGCTGGCCAGTTTTCACCTTAACACACGAAGTGCCAAGACAAAGTCCTCAAGGGCCCTTGCAAATGGTCCAGTTGCTGCCTCCCTGGGGTGTCTGGACCCTTCACCAGGCACCTTGTTTTATCCATGTCCTGGGACAATGGGCCCAACCCTGGAATGCCTGTGTTTTGGGATAACCTGTGCCCCAGATCCAGGATGAATACTTGCATAATGGGAGTGCTTTCTCCCCTCAGCCCTCTCTCAGGGGCATCTGGTTCTTGTGGTGAAGCTGTAAGAAAAAAAATGTCTCTTTTCTTCAAAAGTTACAAGATTGAATTAAAGCTGGAACAAGAACACTTTTCTGAAAATTACTGAGAAAATCTCCCTGGTCTTTGTTCTCTTCTTGTGAACCACTCAAGGCCAGTTCCTGGTGCCTTATAATTCTCTATAGCAAAGACACTGCAAACATCCTTATGCCCTAGGCCTCTCCTGTCAAGCCCCCTCCTGTCAAGTCCCTTCCATTCAACTCCTCACCTTTTCAAGGCCCCTTCTTTCAAACACAGGTCAAATTTGCAAATGGAGTAGGAACAAGATTGTGAGGTCAAAACCCTTGGCCTTGACCAATAGGGTGAGACACGGGCTTAGCTTTTGCAGTCAGGGTTAAACTCCAGTGGACCACCCACCGGGTGCTTGATGGTCAGACTCAGGGCTGCCCCAGCAACCTTCTGCTGACATGCTTTACTGAGCTCTTTTGTTCAGCGTGTTTTCCAAGCCATGTTTCTAACAATTTGGGTGTTTTCTAACAAAGTTACTGAAGCGGCAGCAAGGAGCAAGGAGAGGGCAGAGGAGGAAGGGGGGGAATGAAAAGCGAAAAAGGAGCAAGGCTGAGAGAAGGAGAGGGGTGAGTGAGGAAGGAGGGGGAGGAGGTGCAGAGGAGGGGGAGGGAAGACATGGGGGTGAGGAGGAGAATAAGGGGGAAGGGTAGGTGAGAAGGGGGAAGATAAAGGGTAGAGGAAGAAGGAAGCGATGAGAGGGAGGAGGAGGGGAAGGCAAAAGGGAGAGAAGGAAGAGATGAGAGCAGAGAGGAGGGAAGGAGGAGGAAGAGGGGGGAGAGGAAAAGGAGACAGAGGAGGGAGAGGAAACAGGAGAGAGATGGGAGAAAGTGAGGACAGGGAGAGGGAGAAAGGGGAGAAGGAGGGGAGAGGAGAGGAGGGGAAAAGGAGAAGGGGAGGGGGAGGGGAGAGAGGAAGAAAGGGGAAAGAGGTGGGGCAGGGAGGGGGAGAGGGAGAAAGGGGAGCGGGGAGGGAGATAAGGAGAAAGAGGGGAGTGGAGGGGGTGGGGAGGGAGAGATGAGGGGAGGGAGAAGGGAGAAAGAGGCGAGGGGAGGGGGTGGAAAAGGGGAGAAACGGGAGAGAGAAGGCAGGCACGCAGCATGGGGTGTTCTCTTCCCTTCCCGCAGCTGGAGGCCTGGAGCCCCGCCTCTAGGGGAAAGGAGGTGACACAAACGCCAGGCATGAACCCTGGAAAGCCAGAAAGTACCAGAATGCAAGGCTCTGTTCAGGCAGCCCCAGCCCCCGGGGATGCTCCTAGTCCCGGGGCAGCTCTCCCTCCGTCCAGGCTGGTGGTGCACGCAGCCCTTTACCCTCCACTGCCCCCTTCTCTTGCTGCTAGAATACCACAAAGTGTCTGGTCCCTACTGATGTCCCAAATTTAAGGTTCCACCCATCTCAGCACCGCTCCTGGTGCCCTAGCACCTGTGGAATGGGGGTGGGGGCGAGGGGATGAGTCCCATGGGGAGCCCCAATCCATGGAGGGACGCCATGCCTCGGCTGTAGGGGCCAGAATGAATCCAATACAGCCTCCTCTGCTGGGCCTTGGGGTGCCCGTTCCTCTCCTTCCAGGAGGGATGGTCAGACCTGCGGGCCGAGGACAAGAGGGAGCTCTCAGAGCACCCCATAGTCACCCAGTGGTCACGGTGAGCAGGGCTGGTCATGCGTCCTTCGCTTTCTGGAGCCGAACGACCACCTGCCGCCTGCCTAGTCCAGGCACACACTCCAAGTCCATGAGGCCCTGGGGGCGCGGCCGCAGCCCACTTCTCCAAGGCCCCTCCCTTCCTCGGTGGGATCAGCCCACTCTGTCCTTCCCCGCGGCCCCTCTCGGTCCCTCGTGGGGACGCAGTGCTGTCCCTCGCGCCTGGCCTGGCCGCGGGGACACGGACGGGGTCACGAGGCGACAGGGGTGTCTGTGTTGGGGACGTGCGCGCAGCGACCAGGGAACCAGGCACCATCGCAGGCTCTCAGCGAGAGGAGCCGGCCCCGCCCCGCCGTCACGTGGGAAGGCCCGTCACGTGACCCGCCACGTGACCCCGGCTCTCCTCCCGGCTGCCGGACATGGGTTGTCAGCGGCGCGGCCTCGCGGCCCGACCAGTGCTGCCCTGGACGCTGACCCTGCTGTTGGTGCTGGGGCTGCGCGG